TTGAGAAAAAGTATGTAATTATTTACAATGTATTTTTTTAACAATTATTTGTTTTTTTTACACTAATTGATTTGTCTCATTATTTTGTACATAAAAATATTACGGTAAGATTATCGAAAATTAAATATTTTACGAGATATTTTATTTTTTATATCAAAATATAATATTTTATATCAAAAGATATAAAATAACTCAAAAAGTACTTAATGAAAACATATTTTATTATAGAGTTATGAAAAGATCTCGACAAGGGCTATACGAATATGCAATAAAAAATAGAGATTTCAATTTAAAAAATTCAATGTGACCTTAATATGACTTTAACAATGCCACCCAAGGTTTAACAAATATTCCTATCTCTTTTCCCACTTGGAACCAAACAACTTTTGTCTAAAAAGTTTCCTTCTAAAACTTACAGGTTTTAAGATTATTGCCTGGTAACATTAAAAAGATTAGCGCTGTATATATATTGTTGCGCTCACGCGTCGACTTCGATATTACTCGAATACGCGTGACGCAACCGGCACTCGCGTACCGCGAAGTAAATAATAAACACTCTTTTAAAAGAACGAAAGGAACTTTAATAACAGCTTAGAACACAAAACACAAAGCACAGAACAGATAGTCTCGTAAATTAGCCGATACGTCCGATCGGAATCACCACCTACGCGAGACTCTCAAGATGGCCGATCCCTCTCAAGATGTCCGCCGTTCCCTTAGCAACGTGTTTGGAGATAATCTCTTAGAGAGGGGAAAAACTTCAGGATTAACTACCGCAGACGACTCGCAGAGACGAAGTACACAGGGACGGGCGTAACATTGCCCCACTCTCCTCAAGATTGTCGTCCCGGCTATCAGTGATCGACGAGTCTATGTTGAATGGGTTGACTGTAGTCCTCTTCTTCCAAAGCTAAGACTCCAGGCTGCCACAATGACTTCTTGCTCTACCCTGAGTTGCTGCTGCAGGTTACCGAGCGTCATTAGTTGGCCCCAATCACGCGCTTTCCAGGAATTCATAGGATACCGTCATCGAACCCTCTTCATTCTCGTCAACTTCAGGGCACCAAATCAGTTTCTTGCTCTACCTTGAGCTGCTGCCACAAGTTACCGAGCACCAATATTTAGGTCCCAGTCGACTTCGATAAATCTTCTCACTGCAAAACTTGTTCTCCGCTCCTCGCCCGACTTGTAGAAATATCCCATGCTGCCGTTTCTCAAGAAGGGAAGAAATCTTCGGACAAGAGGGGGGGTATCTACCATGGATCCCAGTCGACTTCGATAAATCTTCTCACTGCAAAACTTGTTCTCCGCTCCTCGCCCGACTTGTAGAAATATCCCATGCTGCCGTTTCTCAAGAAGGAAATCTTCGGACAAGAGGGGGGTATCTACCATCGACCCGACATCCTCAAAAGAGGACTCCTCAAGCGCCTGCTTCGGCATTCGCCCTAAGACCCGACGGGAAAACCATGGCTCAAAAACCGCGGGTGAGGCAGTCTTCGAAAATAAGATCGTGTTCCTATTCAAACCCCGTATGTTTTACACTGCAATTTTTCAACCAAACTCTGCATGTTTCTTACCGCATCTTCTTCATTGAACACCTTTAAAAAGAAAAATCAAACGAGTAACAAGAAATAAATTAAATTTCTTGGATCACTTTTATTGCCATCGCTCTTTGTATAGCCATTTTCAAGGAAGTGACACCTTCCAGTTGTAAAGTTCTTCTCACAAATCTGTCTGATAAAGCCGTGACAAACTGTGCACAAGCGATCTTATCGCGGACCTGATGAAAGCATTCCGGATTTGCCAATTGAGATAAACGCTCAATATCGGAACCCAATGTAGCCTCATCAGTAGTGTATCTAGGCCGGTTCTAAGCCATGGTCTTCTGAGGGGGAGGACCGGCGCGGGGGGTATGACGTCATGTGGGGGGACCGCGGCGAAACCGGTAGGCGAGGGGTCCGCGGAGAGGGGGGAGGGGGACCGCGGCGAAACCGGTAAGCGAGGGGTCCGCGGAGGGGGGGAAGGGGACCGCGTCCTAACCGATGGGCGAGAGGTCCGCGGAGAAGGGGAGGGTGACCGCGGCGAACCGATAGGTGAGGGGAAGAGGGAACGCGAAGGTACGATGCCGCGAGTAGGTGTGAGAGAGATAGCGCTAATGATATTCTATGGGCGTGGAAGAAGGATAGCGCGAGGCGTCCATATGAGCGTGGGAGAAGAATAGCGCGAGGCGTTCATATGAGCGTAAGACAAGGATAGCGTTTGCATGCACGTTGGAGAGAGATGGCGCGAGGCATGCACTTGGGAGAAAGAGAGAGAGATAGCGCGAGGCATGCACTTGGGAGAGGGATAGCGCGAAGGATGCACTTAGGAGAGAGAGAGATAGCGCGAAGCATGCACGCGGATGATACGGCGTTCGCAAGGCGGTGTGAGAGAGATAGCGCGAGGC